ATTGGACTTTTAGCTAATGTAACAAGGTTTGTGTAAAGGGTGGCTGGATAAGTTTAGCTAAATGCGTGCTAAAGACATAACAGATTGTAATCTTAGTGCAAAAAAGTTTTTATTGCCTCGACACTCACATTAGTATACTACTCTTTGTATATTCCTTGAATCATAAATAAACAGGGGAAAACAAATCATTTTTTCAAAAGAAAATACTTGTTCATTTATCAAAACAATATAATATGAACAGATTGAACCATGTTCCCTTATAATCTAATTGTCCCCTGTACACTGTTGACTTTTTAACCAACCCTTAAACCTACCCATACCTCCAAACCTGTCCCTAACCTTACCCGTATCACACCTCAATAGCAGCAAAAGTGTTGTGCATTAACACAAGGTTTTAATCATTTTATAACATCTGTTAAAATCATTTGTAGATTTTCAATATGTGCTTGATCATATGAAATTGAAAGTTTAATGACATTTGTAAGCATTTTAACTTACATGAAATAATTATTTGTTTGAACATCATCTAATGTTTAATAAGTTTATTAGCAAACATTAACAAGCACATTGTCTCACATTTCTAACTCTTTGAATACATATTAACTAATGATCCATTAAGCATTATATAATGTTTGTTAATGATTTATTAATGAAAGTTATTATAAAGTGTTACCGGTGTGTTAAATAAGAGAGACATGGAAAATATGCAGAGTGGTGGTACGCGAGGAATGGAATTGAGAACCACTGGTTTAACTCATTCAACTCATTTTCTCTCAAAATTAGCATAGAAATTCAGTGTGTTGTTCCATATGATCCTACTCATTGTTATTGATATATTAACCAGTCCAGTCAGTACTTCCTGGAAAATGACATTAATCATATGACAGAAGCTGACAGAAGTCTGTCTCATTCAGTTAGCATCTTAGGTTACATATTTGTCATGCTACTGTCCACAAAACATTTTTATTCTCCTTAAACATATTTTAACAAGTATGCATTACATTTGTGATTACTTTTGATTGTTGGTCACAAAAAATCCTAGAACTTGGAAAACAATTTGGAACAGAAACTGCAGTCCTATAATACAGCAAAAATGAGATGAGCTCTATTTCTCTATGGGAGTAATGCACCGACTCATGGGAACACAACACTGTGTATTTAGAGACCATGATATACGTCAAGCTTTCAATGCACTCTTCAGCAATGTAATGGGGGGAGTACAATGTGGGAATTTCTTTACTCAGTTATATATTCATTTTATGCGTGTCATGTAATGAGTCATTCATGTACTTCTGACTTGCTGAAGTGTTAGAGAAAAGTAAGGATTGTCTTATTCAAATTCATATCACAGTATAACAATCAAAAAAAGGTCTGAATTATTTTGTTTATTTAATTTATTGGCATTAGCAGTGCAGAAAATGATTTAGCTTCACACTACAGAGTTTACATTTGTTTTACATAGTACAGTATAATTTATATGACTGTAGTGAAACTTGAATAGCTACTGTATAATTTCTCTTTTTAATTTCATCAGGTTCATTTGGCGTACAGTACACAGTGTACAAAGGGTTTTTCAACATGAAGGATCTTTCTGCACAAAATGTCTCATTCACTGAGTTCACTTCAGATTAAATGGTTTCTACAACCTAGGAGAATGGAGGCCATTTTTATTTATCCCTTTCTTTCTGATGTTTTTATTGGCTACCACAGCAAATTGTATTCTTATATATTTGATCAAAACTCAAAAGTCTCTGCACTCTCCCATGTATGTTCTAATAGGTGTTATGGCTGTTGTAGACTTGATCATGCCCATATTATTTGTACCTAACATGATGCTTAACTTTTTATTGAACTGGAGTGGGATTTCTCTAACTGGTTGTTTGATACAAATGTTTGGCATTCATTTTGTTGGAGCATTTCAAATTACTTTGCTTTTTTGGATGGCACTGGATCGATACTTTGCAATATGCAAACCCCTTTACTATCACAAATACATGGAAATCCCTAACTTTGTAAAGTTTGTTTTTGCACCAGTAATCAGAAATGTACTCCTGATTTTCACCATGGTCTCTCTGGCTGGAAAACTGACATTTTGTGCAACAAATGTCATCGATCACTGTTTTCGTGAGCACATGGCATTGGTTCAGTTAGCCTGTGGAGATATATCCATTAATAATATTGTAGGACTTCTGTCTGCTTTCTTTATAGCAGCGGCAGATTTTATTCTCATTACTGTGTCTTATGTTGTAATGTTTATCTCTGTGTTGAAATCTGGAAAAGTTCATATGAAGGCCTTAAACACCTGCATTACTCACTTAATTGTCTTGTCAGTTAGTTTGACGACTGCTTTGATTTCATTTTTGTCATACAGAATAAGGAACAACATTTCTTCTAATAACCGTATATTTATAAGCATCATCTATTTATTTTTCCCAAGCTGTCTACACCCACTAATCTATGGATGGAGAATAAAAGAAATAAGACAAACATATCTGAAGTTCATAAAAAATTCAAAGGTCTTTCCTTTAAAAAAATGAATGGCTTTTACAAATGGATGAATATCACAACATGATAATACTTTGAACATGTAATTAATATAAGAAGCTATTGTTATGATGGAAGAAAATTGTATGATTTATTGAATTTGTTGGTTTGTTAGCAAACACATCTAAAGAGATGGGATCCTATATACAGATGCAAATATATTTTGTGTCATTTGTACCCTGACAGCAACTAGTAAAGTAATGCGTATTATCAACATTCCATAAATTATTATTATTATTATTATTATTACAAAGTTGGCATGCTTGTATCTGTGATGCATAAAGGCATATTGTCACATTTTGTGGCACAGTAAGCATTTTGATTTATATTCAATTAAATAGTACAAAGAAAATTAGGCAAATAGACTCTGTAAACAATTGCTACACAAAAAATGGATACCGCATTTTAATACATGTGTGAGATTCTGACTGTGGTAAATGGATCTATTGAGTTAATAAATCAGTTTTAATATTTGTAATAAATGTTTGATACATTATTGTAGTATCCAATCATTTTGATCACTAGTCAGTGATAGGTGAGGGAGAACAAAAAGGAATCAGTCCAGCAGTAGGCATTCAAAGTACAGTATATATTTCAATATGCTTGAACATTCAAGAGATAGTCCACCCAAAAATGAAATTTGTTGATTTTGGGCACCACAATGTTGACACTCCAAAAAGCACATACAGCCTTCTTAACAGTAATCCATGAGACCCCAGTGGATGAATCAATGTCTTCTGAAGTAAAATGAT